TGAAAACTTTTCAGACTATTTCTGGAGATTATTTAAGTATTTGATATGTTTAAGCAATGCTATAGATGCAGCCCACTTAGAGGATTTGGTACATATTTAACTTGGTGTTCTTCCTTGAGCACTAGTCTCATGCATATTAATTGGTTGGACTAAATGTCTAATTAGGTGTATATGTATATCTATGTAGCAATAGATGCCATTCTTTTGTGGTAACTAGTAGTGTTATGTATTATTACTTTCAGTCTTAGTATATTAATGCTTGAGTGGGTTGTGGTATGGATGGTAACAAGTTATCATGGGGCCCATCGATGGGCCAAGAAATGGAAGTCTCGGGTCGCTTGGGGGCCTCGAGACTCAAGCCCATTTTCTTAGGCCCAAACATGGGTAAGCACAAGGAAGGAGATGGACCATTGCCTCAACCAAAATAACTGAGGATTTGGTACATATTTAACTTGGTGTTCTTCCTTGAGCACTAGTCTCATGCATTTTAATTGGTTGGACTAAATGTCTAATTAGGTGTATATGTATATCTATGTAGCAATAGATGCCATTCTTTTGTGGTAACTAGTAGTGTTATGTATTATTACTTTCAGTCTTAGTATATTAATGCTTGAGTGGGTTGTGGTATGGATGGTAACAAGTTATCATGGGGCCCATCGATGGGCCAAGAAATGGAAGTCTCGGGTCGCTTGGGGGCCTCGAGACTCAAGCCCATTTTCTTAGGCCCAAACATGGGTAAGCACAAGGAAGGAGATGGACCATTGCCTCAACCAAAATAACTCATTGACCCAATTAGAATAAACTAGTCAAAATAAGCCCATTGACCCAATTAGAACAAACTAGCCAAAATGAGCCCAACACTTGACAAAGCAACCCACAATCTTCAGAAAGCAAGCTTTCTCTCCCTTGCAAACCCAGCCAATTTTCGTGCTTTGCTAGCCCATTTCCTCCATCTCTCACGCTTTGGCAAAATTGCTACAGCTCTGACAGAGTCACTGTCGAGCTGCCGGAAGCTACGAAAACCACCCAAAACTCTCCTCCTTAGAACCTCTCCTCTCTTCCATTAGAATCCCTGACCTCCATAGGAACCCACAAACTTTCTCTTTCCCAAAGTGCTAAACCCATGATAACTTTGCTCTCATGCCACATGCCCCTCATGCCAAGCCTAGAAATTTATCTGTGAACGTAAAGAAATTATCTGTAAAATTGCTGTTGTTTTGTTGGAAAAGATAACCAAAATACTTCCTAAGGCTTTGCTGCCCTTTCGAAGCATTTTGGGGCTTAATTTCGAACTCAAACAAAGGGGAACAACTTCATCAGCCCAGCCCAGCCCACTTGCTGCCGGAAGGAAAAAGCCCCTACATAAATTGGCAACTTCACTGGGGATTAAGCCAATATCTAATCCAATGCCTCCAAAGAAGAAGACTAGAAGCAACAATATGACCTCTCAAGATGGGCCAAACCATGGTGATTCGGAATCAAGGCAAAATGCCTCCTCTAGAGAAGAAGGACGTGCAAGTGAGGGAGCTTTCACTCTCTCAGACCTCATAGCTGCCATCCATGCCATGGGAGAAACTCAGAAGGAGATGGCAGACACGATCAAGGAGCTGAAAAGTTCGGTCTCTAAGCCAAGTGAAGAAAATGAGAGACACCCACAAGAAGAGTTAGCTGCTGCTGGAAAGGGGTCTGAACAAAAGGGACCATCTTTTGTCACTCAAGAGGACGTCATTGCTATGCTGGAAAAGGAGCTGAGTAGAAGCCAAGAGGATTGGAAGTATATTCCTTAACCACCATACCCATCAAGCTTGCTCCAGCAGCCATATCCTAAGGGCTATGAAACACCAACCTTTGTTCTCTTTGATGGGAGGAAAGGAAGCCCAAAGGAACATGTCAACCGCTTCCTTGATGCCTTGGGACCACATGCCGGCAACCATAATCTCCGGCTCCGTGAGTTCTCGAAAAGCCTTACCGATCGTGCTTATACATGGTATACGACACTAGCACCAGGGTCTGTTCGTTCATGGGAGGATTTGGCAAGTAGGTTCTGCAAAAAATACTTCCAGCATGAGGAGAGAGTCACAACCACTCAACTCAACAACACTCGCCAAAAACATGGGGAGGATCCCGTGGACTTTGTGCGCAGGTTCCGGGACCTGGCGTTGGATTGCTATGACGAGAAGGATGAGGAGGCACTGGTCAAAATTTGCATCAGCAATATTGTGGTAGACTATAGGGTTTATTTGGAGAATATTGGCATTAGTCAATTTTCTTGGCTGCTGGAAGCAGTGAGGAAGACAAGTATGTCTGTCAAGCCAGCTGGGCAAAGAAGTTGGAGGAACGAGAAGAAGGAGTCGCATCAGACATTGGCTGTGGACGACAAATCATCGGGTGACTACAACTCACGCAAGCGAAAGGATAGGGAGACGTACCCGCCACTACCTTGCAAGGACGAAGAATTCCATGCCATCCTTGACACAATGATTGCTGATGGTGCAATCAAGCCTCTCAGACCTTACAAAATTCCTACTCGAGAGGAGAAAAATGATTCTAGGTACTGCCGTTACCATCAGTTTGTAGGACACCCAACCACGGCATGTCAAAGCTTGAGGAGGATTTTACATGCTAAAATACATGAGGGAGTCCTCGAGTTGCCCTCTAGGAAGCAAACTATTGATGAAGACCCCTTGCCAAAACGAAGGGGGAAGGAGATGGCTGCTGTCATCACATGCTCCGATGACTTACTCGACGACGATGAGTTATGCCACCCATGGAGGAATGACCCAAAGCCACCCGAGGCTATTTGGGAGCCTTGTGGAAATATGGAGAAAGCCTACTGGTGCAAATATTCGAAGCCTTCCAGCTACAATACCCCATGGCCCCTTGCCGATGGATGGGATGATAACATAGCCAATGAAGTATTCCCGATGGACGTGCCGGAAGAATGCTACTTGGGGGCTTCGTCGGTGCCGCAGGAAACAGCTGCTGTAACGTTTCACAATCTTACGGAGGCCGAAGAAAGTGTGATGGAACGTTATCTAAGACTGAAGCAGGGACCTACGGCCTCACAAGTCCTCCAAAGGAATCCGAAATTCAAGTCACTCTTTGACCAACTTGGCTTTGGGCCTCAAGCAAGAGAAGCATCTGCTGTAGCTCTCATGAACATCTCTGCGGAGTCGAATCCTCATTGCTTCGCTGCTCAACCACAAAGGTCATTCTTGGGAAATGACAATGCTATCGTTTTCACGGATGAAGACATGGAAGTTCCATATCCGGATCATAGAAGACCACTTTACTTGGAGGGACAAATCAATGATGTGTTTATAAGAAGAGCTTTGGTGGACACAGGTTCCTCTGTTAATATTTTGCCTCTATCTGTGCTTACGGCGGCTGGAATTCCATTGTCCAAAATAGTGCAATCTCAAACAAGCATCAGCGGTTTCGGGAATAAAAGTGAGATCACGGTTGGGTACGTGCAGGTAAACTTGAAGGTGGGGCCAATCAGGTCGCTTACCAAGTTTTACGTGGTAGATGTAGATGTGGCTTATCATGCTTTGCTTGGAAGGCCATGGCTCAACAAGCACAAGCTTGTGGTCTCCACTTACCATCAGTGCGTGAAGGGAAGAATTGGGCTGAGGCCACTTCGCATACCTGGGAATCAAGCACTGTTCAACAAAGACGAAGCTCACTACTCCGAGGCAGAATTTTACAATGAGTGCACAGGTGCTGGAAGCAGCCCATCTAAGGATTTCGGGATCTACCTACCCTCATGGACTAAAATTCGTGATTTGAGCAACGAAGAACTCATCACCATCATTGAGCGAGAAAGAAAGAGACACTCGGAAGCTAACAACCATGCCTACAATCATCCTCAATGCTTGAAAGTGACACTGCCAGACGGACGCACCGTGTACCGCTTATGACGGGATTGGGGGCTCGACCGTGTCCTACGGGAAAGCCCCGAGTATGGAGAAGAAGCCATGCAAACAAACAGCCATAACAGTTCAGATGATCAGAAGTCCACGCCTTGTGCTTTCTAGGAGCCAATGATAGCACCTAGACACATGCAAGATGGATCGACAGCCGTAGCTGAGCAGCTGGAAGCAATCAATTTGAGTGACGACCCATCTGCCCCGAAACCTATTTCCATCAGCACTCATTTGACAGGTGAAGAAAAGGAGGCCTTGGTGTCCTTGTTAAGAGAATTCAGAGATGTATTCGCTTGGAGCTACGAAGAAATGCCCGGTTTAAATCCAAACTTGGTGAGTCATACATTGAACATTGAGCTTGGTACGAAACCTGTTGTGCAGCCAAGGAGAAATTTTCATCCTGAAGTTGAAAAACAAATCAAGGTGGAAATTGAGAAATTGTTAGCTGCTGGATTCATCAAGCCAATCAAGCACCCAACATGGCTAGCAAATATTGTTCCCGTGAAAAAGAAGACCGGAGTGATTAGAATATGCACGGACTATCGAGACCTCAACCGAGCTTGCCCAAAGGATGAATTCCCGCTGCCCAACATAGATATCCTAATTGACTCAACTTCAGGTCAAGGTTTGCTGTCATTCATGGATGGGTTTAGCGGTTACAATCAGATTAAAATGTCACCCAAAGATGCTAAGAAGACGGCCTTCCGAACACCATATGGGAATTTTTACTACACGGTCATGCCATTCGGTCTTAAAAATGCCGGTGCCACCTATCAAAGGGCCATGACAGCAGTGTTTCATGATATGATGGGAAAAGAGGTGGAAGACTATGTGGATGATCTGGTGGTTAAGTCAAAAACTAGAGAAGGCCATTGAGAGGTGCTGAGGAAGGTGCTGGAAAGGTGTCGGCTGTATGGGTTAAAGATGAACCCCAAAAAGTGCGCATTCGGGGTGTCATCCGGAAAATTCTTGGGGTTCCAAGTGCATCAGCGTGGCATAGATGTTGATCCGGAAAAGACAAGAGCTATAAGTTCCCTCGCACCTCCAAGAAATACAAAGTAGTTGAAAAGTTTCATGGGGAGATTGTCCTATATTCGGCGCTTCATACTAGGTCTTGCTGCCACTATGAGTGTTTTTGCTCCCTTACTCAAGAAGGGCAAGCCATACGAATGGAGCCAGGAATGCCAAGAAGCTTATCAGCAGGTGCAGCAAATAATTACTAAGCTGCCCACCATGAAAGCGCCTATTCCGGGACTTCCTCTCAAACTTTATCTAGTTGCAACAAACACAGCGGTTGGGGCCTTACTTGCTCAAGACGACCATGATGGAGAAGAAGGCCCTATTTACTATGTGAGTAGGCAATTAAGGGGAGCTGAAACAAGATACCCGAAGACCGAGCTTCTATGCCTTGCCCTTGTATATGCTGCACAATGCTTGCGCCACTACTTCCTTGCCCACAAGCTACAGCTCATAGTGAAGTCTGACCCCGTAAGGTACTTGCTCACAAGATCGGTGCTCTCCGGACGTCTTGCACGGTGGCTACTGCAGCTATCCGAATTTGATATGACATGCACAGCTCCTAGAGCCATCAAAGGACAAGCCATGATTGACATGCTGGCTCTATTTCCTGAAGAAGAAGGACCAATTCTCTCGGAAGAGATTCTGGGGGAGCTGCCGGAAACAGTGGCTGTTGTTACAGAAGAAGAACCATGGACCCTCTACTTTGATGGTTCTTCTACGTCAAACGGTGGAGGAGCAGGCGTGGTACTCATCAACCCCGAAGGGCAAGCCACGGCCCTCTCATTCAAGCTAAATTTCCCATGCACAAATAATGTGGCGGAGTATGAGGCATTCATTATGGGGCTATCTACAGCAAAGGAAATGGGCATAGAAAAGATTAAAATCATTGGCGATTCAAATTTGGTGCTAAGTCAGTTACAAGGAAGCTTTGCTGTGAAGGAGTCAACATTAGCACCATATCGCACAGCTGTTGAAAAGCTTGTCGGTTCTTTCAAGCAAGTGCTGCTGGAGCATATCCCGGGGGTCACTAATAGATACGCTAATGCTTTGGCTACATTGGGGTCAAAGCTCTCATTCATCCAAGAGCAGCCCAACATCACCGTGATAAAAAGAGATGTTCCAGCAGTTGAAGCAATGGCTCAAGAGGAGCTGCTGGAGGAAAAAGATTGGAGAAAATCCATGAAAGAAAGTCTGATCGAAGGAAGCAACATCAAGGACTTGAAGGACTATGTGGTTATCTTCAGCGAACTCTACAGACGCCTGCCGGGAGGTATTCTGACCCACTGCATAGGACTGACAGAGGCACAAAGGAGACTCCGAGAGGTACATGAAGCCACTTGCAACTTGGAGCCAATAATCAGCCTATATCGACGCCTGCAACGCAAGGGTTATTATTGGCCAGAAATGAAGAGACAAGCAGCTGAAGTTCAAACCAATTGTCCCAATTGTGCAACGATACCCTCCACCGAAGAGTCATTCACCATTTCGTTTGCGGAAGATTGGAAGGCACCATACTTGGCATTCTTTATTGAAGGAGTTCTACCAAGCAACATTAAGCATGCCCACAAGCTCAAAAGGACGCTGAAGAGATACTTCATAGATGGATCCACTCTCTATCGCAAAGGGTTTAATGGTGAACCTTTGAAATGCTTAGGAGAATCTGAGGCGCAGCAAGTGATGCAGGAAATTCATGCTGGAGAATGTGGTGAACACCAAGGGATGAAGAGACTCCATGGACAGCTGCTGAATGTTGGGTATTATTGGCCCACCATGAAGAATGATGCATACAATTTCGTGAGGAGGTGTCATACGTTTCAAGTTCATGCCAATTTGAGTCACAAGCCTCCCACGTTATTGCAGGACATGCGTACTCCTTGGCCTTTTCACACTTGGGGGCTTGACTTGATTGGAACTATCCACCCACCTTCTGATGGTTACATATGGATCCTCACAGCCACTGAGTGTTTCACAAAGTGGGTTGAAGCAATTCATCTCCGAAAGGCCACGGGGGCTGCCATTGCAAATTTCATCCGTGAATACATCGTCTGCAGATTCGGAATCCCATACAAGATCGTCACCGACAATGGTACCCCATTTGTTAACAAGCAAGTAAGCTCGACGCTTAGCGGATATGGTATCAAGCATCGTCGTTCCACGCCATACTACCCGCAAGGAAATGGCCAAGCGGAAGCCACAAATAAAACTTTGTTGAGAATCCTAAGCAAGATGGTGTATGAGTATGAAGGAGGCTGGAGTGTCCACCTACCGGATGCTTTATGGGCTTACCGCACCTCTCCAAGGAGTGCTACAGGTTTCTCACCCTATTCGCTTGTCTATGGTTCCGATGCCATATCGCCTGTTGAAATTACTATACCCACTGCTAGAGTATCGGATGTCAATGACCTTGAATGGGATGCGAAGACATGCTCGGAGTGGCACCTGATAGACGTGGAGGCCTTGGATGAAAAAAGAGAGGAAGCTGAAAGAAGAACAGCCCTTTACCACAAAACCATTGCCCAAGCTTACAACAGGGCAGTCAAGCCACAAGCCTTCAAGCAAGGAGACCTCGTGCTAAAAGTTGTCGAGCATGTGAGAAGACAAGTCTCGGGACCTTCCAAGTTCGCCCCGCAATGGGAAGGACCATTTGCAGTCAAAGAAGTTTACA